TAGGTATCAGCCTAGCACCTTATGCTTTTCTTTCAGTCATGGTGTACATTGTATGTGTTAACATACAATAATAAAATATATTAAAATAATAATATTGGACTTCTAAACAAACTCTAACTAATGAGATAATTGAGGATTTATAATCCTTGTCCAATGCTGATTATTCTAAACCAGTGTATATATCCCAAACTCATCCCAAAGACGAGTTAATTCACAATTTTCTATACCTCAAATTCTGAGAGCTTAATAATTGGTGCTATCAGCGTGGAACACACTGTTAACCCTGAAAAAAATTTCCACAGCTTTTCTCGATTCCTATGGCGACCAACCCCACTGCGCACCTCAACATGGAAGACCAAAACAACACCCATGGCGAGGCCAACAAACAACACACTTTTGCCCCCCCCCCCCCCCCCCAACACCCATGGTCTTTGAGTGCCACACACAACACACTTTTGCCCCCCCCCCCTCCTCCCCATAACAACTGGCTTTTGATCCCCAGGTTAGCAATTGCTCAATGCAAGTGTATTTACAGTTCACCCCACTCGTGTTGAGCCCTCCCCCCCCCCCCTCCCCAACAACTGCTGATCCCCAGGTAGCAATTGCTCTAATGCAAGTGTATTTACAGTTCACCACCGTGTTGAAGCACCTTATGGAGAACCCTCAACTTGGTTGCGAGCCAACACCACCCACGAGGCCAACGAATCCCCCTACCAAGAACATAGTTTCCCTTTGACTTCGTCAAGATATCGAAGTCATTCGATATCCAATCGATACCATAAAACAAAATTAGAGTTAGATCCTCATGTGACTATCCCCAAAAACCAAGAGCTCAGTCAAACCCAACCGATCTTGGATGGAACTAATTTCCAAAATGTTGTTAAAGAACTAGTTCGGGACTGTAGAGAAACAGGAGAAGGAGGAGATTATGGTCTCCAATAGGATTCGCCATTATCAGCTGATATTTTGACCGCAGCTTACCCACCAAAGTTCAAGCTTTCCACTTTCCAATCCTATGATGGATCTATCGATCCCCGAAGCCATCTGGGGACTTTTCAAACGATAATGTATCTGCAGACCAATTTGGAGGATCTAATATGTGAGGTCTTCCCAACTACCCTAAAAGGGGCAGCTCAAGAGTGGTATCAAACACTTAAAACGAGTTTTATTCATACATTTTTCCAACTGGCCACAGCTTTCTGAGCCCGTTTCATAACATGTGTGTCGTCCAAGAAAATATTATCCAATTTCATGGATTTAAAAAGAGAAGAGGGTGAGACAACAAGGCAATACGTACCTAAGTTTCAAAGAATGGCGATGCAGATAGAGATTTTGATTGATAAAGTTGCCATTAGTTTTATGGCAAAGAATTACAGGTATAACAAGTTGTTTGAAAGTTTGAGTAGAGACCCTTCCCAAACCTTTTGCCGAACTCATGGCACGAGCTCATAAGTACACCAAACTGGACGAAGCATATGAGTCCCAATAGCATAGATCGCTTAAACAAGAAAGAAATAGACACAGAAGACACTCATCCCCAATAAGGAGACGATCACCTAGAAGGAGATCGCCTGTTCGGCTCCCTCAAACTAGTTACTCTGTTCAAACCTTATATGCGAGGGATGGCAAGTCATAACAAGATTAAGAATTTACCCCTTTGAATAGACCATGTTCGGATATATTGTCTTGGGTAAGAGAACAGGGTGATCAAATTCAGTTCTATTATCCTAGAAAGATGAAGGAGGGTACCTCAAGTCATCGAGATAAGAGCAATTATTGTGAGTTCCATAGAGATGTAGGCCATGAGACCAAAGCTTGCTGGCAATTAAAGAAAGAGTTAGAATGCCTTGTGTAAAGAGGCAAACTAAAACAGTTTGTTGGGAAACCTTATAGGGATAGTGATCAGAAGGATAAGCAGGTGAAAGAGTCCCACACCCTCAGCACGATCCACACTATATTTGGGGCTCATCGGGGGGAGATAGTAATTTAGTTAGAAAAGGTAGAGCTAGAGAAATCTATTCTGTCCTACCCCAGCCAAAACCGAGCACTAAGCCACCCCTATCATTCTCTAAGGCGGATGGCGAACTTGTGCATACACCACACAATGATGCCCTAATAATCGAAGGGATATTGGAGAACTTTTTGGTGAAAAGAATCTTAATAGATGAATGTAGTGCGGTAAACTTATTAACTATATATGTGTTCAAGGCTTTAAAATTAGACCAGGTGAAGCTTGAACCTATCCGAACCCCTTTAGTCGGACCAGTGGGAAAACTTGTGCAAGTGTCTAGATCTATAGACATAATCCTAGAGGTTGGAACCGAGGACTCATCAAGGAAACTCAAGTTAGAATTCATGGTGGCAAACATTCACTTCCCATACAATGTTATATTGGGCAGGCCAGCCCTATATGAACTAAAAGCTGCCACATGTATCAGATACCTCACTATGAAGTTTTACTCCAATAAGGGTAAGATCGTTGCTATTAGGGGAGACCAAAAAGTGGCTCGGGAGGCATACATGATAGCAATGAAAGGGTTGCCCCTCACTTTTCCAATCATGTGGATGTCATAAGAAGAACCACCCATAAAACCAACCGAGCACCAGACCTTTGATATCCCCTGACAAAATGTAGAGGTTAGTCCAATGCCTGTGGCCGAGCTGATCATGTGGGAATTGGAACATGGGAAGAACTTGACATTGGGAGCTGATCTACTGAAAGAGGTGCATTATGGTATTAAAACAGTCTTAAAAGATAATGTTAACAGCTTCGCCTAGACTGCGGAGGATATAGTGGGTATTGATCCTGATACCATATCCCACAAACATAGCATTGATCCAAACTTCAAGTCGATAAAGCAAAAGAAGTGGAATCATGGTCTAGAGAGACAACAGGTTATAGCAACCGAGGTGGATAAGCTTTTAAAGGCAGGGTTGATAAGGGAGGTGAACTATCCAAATGGTTGGCGAATATAGTTCTAGTACCGATGTCCAATGGAAAATGGAGGCTATGTGTTGACTTTACCAATCTGAATAAAGCATGCCCTAAAGATCCTTACCCTCTGCCTAATATAGATCAGTTGGTAGATTGAACAACTGGCTATGAAATATATAGTTTTATAGATGCAGCAACTGGATACCACCAGATAAGGATGAGTGAACTGAATGAAGAGAAGACGAGCTTCGTCACAGATAAGGGAATTTATTATTATCAAGTCATGCCGTTCAAATTAAAAAATGCAGGAGCCACATACCAGAGGTTGGTCAAATTACATCTTTCAAGATCAGATAGGGAAAACTGTGGAGGTGTATGTAGATGATATGATAATAACAAGCGACTATTGATGTTTTGACCAAGTTTTTTTTACTTAAATTATCTAAGTTAGATTGAATCTATACAGAGGCCTATTAGCTCGGGTTAATATTTAGATAAAATAAGTTTTTTTTGGAAATTATAAGTTAATAAATTTTTTTTTTTACTGATAAAAAAATGGTAATGCATAACTTCAATTCTTTCCCAACATTCACTTCAAAAATATTGTGTTTTTGATCAAGTGTTTTTTTTACTTATAATTATCTAAGTTTAGATTGAATCTATACAGAGGCTATTTAGCTCGGGTTAATATTTAGATAAATTAAGTTTTTTTGGAAATACAGAGGCCTATTAGCTCGGGTTAATATTTAGATAAAATAAGTTTTTTTTGGAAATTATAAGTTAATAAATTTTTTTTTTTACTGATAAAAAAATGGTAATGCATAACTTCAATTCTTTCCCAACATTCACTTCAAAAATTTTCTACATGTGGTTGTATATATTTCCACTTCTCACGTATCGACTTTTGTCTTCTTGTATAATGAGTTAAGAGTTATTGTTTTTTTTCTTTGAGATTGAACTGTCTTGACCGGATCCATGGGCCAGTTATATGGATCAAATCAGTTTTTTTAAATTTAGAAAAAATAACTTTTTTAAAACAGTATTTCTCACCATTTATTAGGGAAAAAAAGATAAAAAAAGATAATTTTAAAAGAAAATTTTTATTAATTTGATCCATAAACCGAGCTTTAGACCAAATCTACACAAGTTAAATGCTCAATATATTAAAACATCCGATAACTTTGCATTTTTTTGCAAGTTTAGTCCATTTTAATTTTATATCAATTTTACCCCAATTATGATATTTTGTCGCCTCTCACTCTAAATTAAAATTATGCATTTTTGTGAAACTCACTTTTACCTTAAGTTAACTTAACCCAAATTACTCAAACCACGAAAATACACCATTTTAAATTATTTTGAATATTATATACTGGCACTATGATTTTTATAGACTTAGGATCTTTTTTTTTTTTAATATATTTTTTATTTATTGGCCGAAAAACTGTTTTTATTTTTCCATAGTTAATTAAAGGCAACCAAAATGAAAATTGCATTTCCATCAACAAATATCCATTTTTCCTCTGTTTGTAGATTGAAAAAAAAAGACATTACAAATCAAGTCAAGTGTAATAATTTTTGGCCACACAAGACTTTTAATGTTCAGTGCAACTAGATACATTTTGGCCACACAAAACTTAAGTAAATATCAAATAAACAAAAAAAGAGCTCCATCTAGAATAGGAAGTAATCTAGAATAAGTGAAAGGGACATGATAGTCATCATTATAGTCAAGTCATTCTCCCATTAGTCTTAAAGATAAAAAAAGATAAAAAAGCTGGACAAATTCGTCAATTAAAGATAAAAAAGCAGGAGCATCAGACCCGCATTTATTTCCCTTCTTGTCCTCTTCGATGATCACCAAAACCAGGTCCCATTCCCCCATTTACCCATTAGTCATTATTGGTTACAGTACACTCATTAGAGAAATTAGCGTGTGGACTTCTTCATGCAAAATTGACTTCTTGGTCAATCGAGAAAATTATGAATTATACTCATTTTGGACCTCACAATACATAATATCTTCGCTAGCTATAAATAAGCTTGAGAGGGTTTAACGAAAATAACATCATAAGAACATATGGAAATGGAATTGAAGTGGTTACTGATATGTTTGATCCTTTGGGTTCAAATCCAAGGAAATAGTGGTTGCTTTGAAGAAGAGAGACTAGCTCTCTTACAATTCAAGGCATCCCTTGAATCTCATGAGTATGGTTCCAAGTTTCCAATTCTCCCTTCATGGATTGATGAACCAGAAAATAACTGTTGCGAATGCTCTTTCTTTATCAATTTCATAGGGCATTGGTTGCTTTGAAGAAGAGAGACTAGCTCTCTTACAATTCAAGGCATCCCTTGAATCTCATGAGTATGGTTCCAAGTTTCCAATTCTCCCTTCATGGATTGATGAACCAGAAAATAACTGTTGCGAATGGGAGAGAGTCTCTTGTAATTCTACTGCAGCTCATGTCATTCATCTCTCTCTCGACAATATATGGAACTACGATGATATAGCAGAATACAATTTAGATGAAAACATTTATGATCTAAAAGTGTCCATTTTCCAGCATTTTAAGGAGCTTAGAAGCCTCAACTTATCCTTTAATAAATTCGGTGGTTTTGTTGAGAAAGAAGGTATCCTACTCCTTTACCTTAATTCTCCATATCTGTAAGTTATAGTTTTCTTTTTTCATACATGAAATTAAAACTTGGAATATAAAATGTTAAGTTAGCACGTGTATTGGAGGAAACAAATATATGTAGTTTTATATATTCCATCAGTTTCAAAATGTTAAGTTACCATGCCAAATTAGCTTTAAAAATAAAAAACAAAGCATTTTGTTGAATAATATTAAAGTTTTTGAATTGTTAGATTAGATATTCAATTCCAATAGCAAAATTAAATATTTATATTTTTAAATAATTATGCATTGATTTTGTTGGCTAATAACTCCAAAATTACAATTGCAGGTTTGGAAAGATTTTCAAATTTGAAGAAATTAAAGGTTTTAGACCTTAGCTTCAATAGATTCAACGGAAGCATATTATCATGGGTAACTCCTATGACATCAATTAAGATTTTGAATCTGAGTGTGAATAACATGGAAGGTTCCTTCTCTTATCAAGGTCTGCTTTCATTTTTAATTTCCATTGTTTTTGTTCACAATAATTTTTTTCTCTTTTACTAAAATTTTAATTTATTTCTCCATTGCATGGTTTAGAGCTAACTAAATTGCAAAACTTGGAAGTATTGGATCTGAGTCTTAATTATTTCAATGGCACCCTACCAATGCAAGGTAAATATATGCTAATCCTTCTGCTTATTAGCTTATTATCATATGATTTGACTTTTGAAAGTAACAATCAACCAATCATTGAGTTTGCACAAGAGATTTGATATTAGTTATATTATTCAAGTGTTAAATTCTGTAGAACAATCATACCAATCATTGAGTTTGCATCAAGAGTATTTTTGATATTAGTTTTTATATTTATTTCTAAGTGTTAAATTTCTGGACTTTTATTAAAAAAAAAAAAAAAAAATTTAGTTATATTATTCAAGTGTTAAATTCTGGACTTTATTAAAAAAAAAAAAAAAAATTTAAAGAGTTCACACAATTCTTTAATCTACCTTGTAATTTGACTATTATCACAACTAATATTTTTGAAAATTTTCTATCACATATTTTAAATGCGATAAATATTAGCAAAAATCACATATAAAATCAATTGAAAGTTGTAAAAATTACAATATATATAATTGTGGGCCAAAATATGTTAGCTAGAAGTTAGCTGGAAGATTCAAATTGTGAATTTTGTTCCTCAACTCAAAAATGAAGAGAAAAAGAAAGAGTTCGATAAAGAGAGATCAAAAGCAAGAGGTGGGATCAAAGTGCAACAACACCCAATCGAAATTTCATTGTCCGCAGTTGATTAAAATAAGTATCTTCTAACTGCGTTTAGGTTTTACTTATCTAAGATTCTATAAAGAAGTGATGTTTCAAATTATTAGAAGATGAACATGAGACGAAGGAGATCCACTAAGATATAAAAATAGATTTTGGCATTTTCTTTAATGCGGGAAAAAGGAAAGTGAGAATGACATTTTCTTCTTTTTTTTTTCTTTTCTTTTAACGAGATAAGAAAATCATCAAATAATTTATAATCACATTCATCTTCTACATTTGTAACCTAGACAAACATATGAAAAACTTCAAGAGCTTTTTTTTTTTTTTTTTTTTTTTTTTTAAAAAATTCCTCAATTATATGCTTTTTTTTTTTTTTTTTTTTTTTTTTTTTTTTTTTTTTTTTTTTGTTTAGGTTGTATTTGAAAGTAAAATACATGGAGTCTATGTTCTAATTAATTTATTTAAATATCGATTGAATAAATATTTATGGCACCAGATAAATTATAAATAAATTACAAATTTATTCATATACAATTTTTTTTTCAAACTTAGATCCACCCATTTATTATATATTTTACCATTATAATAAGAGTTATTAATCATAGTAGTTAATTTCACCATTATAATATATCCCTTTATTTTTAGAAATTTTTTAAATATAAATAATTAGTTGATGTGGTGTATTGCTAATTTGAACTTATTTTCATGTTAACTGGTGAAGTGAGTTTCAAGATTAAGAGATAATTTAAATAAATGAACAAAGCCAAGATAAATAAACAATATTTGATAAGGGTGAATACTTCAAGACTCCACTATTTAGTACCATGTTGCTTATTTGCCTTAGATTCGTTCATTTTGCTTAGATGCTTAACATAATTGGAATACATATATATTTGATTCTCCCAATAAAATTATTTAATTACTTTCATAATTTTAATTATACTAATTAATTTTTAGCATCGACTTTGGTGTTTAAAGTTCAACATTTTTTTTTTTTTTTTGTAGATCGATCTTTTGTGTTTAAAGTTTCAACACTTTGATTTTTTTTTTTTTTTTGACTTATAGCAGTAGATAAGTTTGTTTTAGGATTTTGATCTTATATGTAATCTAATTATAATTTTTACCCCCCGTTTATTTTCAAAAAAATACATTAATTTCTAATATTTGGCTATTACATGAAAGATCACTTAAAAATAGTAATTTTTCAGCATTTGGTACAATATTAAGAAAAAGAAATAATTTTTCACCATATAAATAATGCATTCCTATTTATTATATTTTACATAAATTAAAATATAAACCTAATTAAGTAAATGAAAACGAAAAAAGAATCAAATAAAAGATTAACCATTGCAAAAAAAAAAAAGTGTATTATATTTTACATAAATTAAAATATAAACCTAATTAAGTAAATGAAAACGAAAAAAGAATCAAATAAAAGATTAACCATTGCAAAAAAAATTATTGTAATAATTTCATTTTAAGTCGAAAATAAAAGTTATATATTGGCCTCAACTGCTAATATATGTATGTATATATATGTATGTAGGTCCCGTTTTATATGGCATAACCCAAGAAAGAGTTGAATTGGGCTTTGTAAAATTTTGACTTTAAAAACTCAAATCAGAATTCTAAAGCAGCGAAAATAAAAATTTTTTATAAGAGTTAGTTATTGCAATTAATACTTCCTCATAAGGCTTATAAAAGATTAGAACACTAATTATAACTCAAAAAACTGGAGAAATCATAAATAGAAAGCCAGAATTCTATTAATCCACAAAAATGAATTTTTGCACTTTCAAAATTAGATAACATAAACAACTTTGCATTTCAGAAAAAATAAAACATATGTGAAAATAGAGCAAGTGCAATCAAGCAAGATCTCAAAAATTAAAAGAAGATTAACACAAGATTTATAGTGGTTCAGCACTAATCTGCCTACATCCACTCTCCAAGACTCATTTTGAGATTCTCCACTAAGAGACAAACCAACTTTATAAAAGAAGCTAGTCGAAAACCGCGATCCGCGCGGGTATTTAAGTATTATTTTATTAATTGTTATAGTTGATTATATTATTATTTTTTATAAACTATTATGCATTGTCAAATTGTTAGGTAGAACAATTAAAAATCCTACTTGAAATAATTAATAATGGTTCAAAATGATTTGTAATAAAACGACAATGACAATGTTTGCAATAGCATAATGTTGTAATCAAGTTTCTTTATCAAAATAACCCCACAGTGGAGGAAGTACCAGTCACGATCCAAAATCATGAGTCGGACCGATACTAAGGCCTAGGTAAGTTTAAGACCCCCGAAGCCTATAGTAAGCCTAAACTACAAAGTCTATACACACCAAATAAAATCCTAGGAGCAGTAAGTCTATCTATCTATATATATATATATATATATATCAAGTAATCACATGATCCTGACCCAATCTCAAACATCTCAACTAATACACAGCTCGAGTTTATGTGTAATAGACCTCATTCATAATATAGGCTATCGGTTCATGCATGTGTCTAGATAAATAATTAAGACATTCATGAGTCTATAAAATAGTATACCTATATTACTACACGATTAGAGGTATATAAATCCTACAACTGCGGAGTTCAATAATAACTAGAAGTAATAAAGTTCTTATACATAACAATACATAAATTAGTTAACTACGGAAACTAGGAATCTACTTATATAGCTCTGCGGAGAAGGTTGCAAAGCTTTAGTCGACTCAACGGGAATCCTACTTCTTGAAAAGTTAAAAAAATGAAGAGTGGGTTTTATAACTCAGTGAATAATAATAAATAATACATAAACATGTATTCACGCGAAATGCAACCTAAAACACTAAAATGAACACGCAACCAATCAAGCATATGGCAAAATATCAGCACCCACAAGTAATTGCACCTTCAAGTAAGCAAACAAGTGAAAGTTGATCAGTGGCGTCACCAACCCTCAATGAGCCGTCATCACACATGGCCCGCCCTCTCAAACGTGTGCACCAGGGAGTCGATCCCCCATATATGGCCGACCGATTTAATCCTCACTTAACCAGTCTTCTCCTTTTTTTTTTATACTCTATTTTCTTTTCCATACCAACAAGCGGCCACCCTATGGTTTTTCATATCATATATCATCATATACATACAGGGGTGCCGATCTCCCCATACAAGGCCGACGATATCGAAGACCGCCCACACAAACCCGTGGTAACCTACTTTATCCCAATTCCACACAAACAAGGCACAGTAATTTTCACAGCATAAGTAATCAAACAATTCATTCAACATAAAGCACCAAAGCAACCTTAATGCACAGACATAAAAGTATAATTATATATTAATAGTAAAATAACATAATAGTATACATATAAAAATAAGTACTAAGTTATCTCTTTTTATATATATTTCTTTGTAAAATAAATGATATGTGTACGCAATTATGTTATGTACTATTTATTATTACTCACAGTGGTAGATAATAGAAGGAGCTCTAACTCAGATTTTGACTCTTAGGAGCAGCAGACAAACCCGGACAATCTAAAGAATTTAAAAATATAAGGAAAGAATTGCATCAGACAAAGGACTAATTTAAATAAAGAATTAGGGAATTAATCTAATGATTATCTATGTATCTAACTGCTATAACTAGCCTAAATTCGACCGAAATTTTGGCAGCATCTCCCCTAAAAATTGAACTATCCACCTGTTTAAATATCAATAATTTCATTAAATATTCACTCAATCCACACAGCCCATCCATCGGACAATCAATCAAATCAATTTATTTTCCCTTCCTCCAACAAAGTAACAAAATAATTATTTAACCATCTATACAAAACCTTAGCTTTACTTAATCCATGGTTTCAACATCGATAATTATTTAACCATCTATACAAAACCTTAGCTTTACTTAATCCATGATTTCAACATCAATACAAATTAGTTTAGTACTAAAACAAAAATATTCATAGCTTTACTAAGATTAAACAAATAAGTAAATAAATACGCAATTAAATGAAAATGGTTATTTGTTTAATCTCCACATCCTACTACTTTAAACTATCCAATCATATATAACCTTTAATAATCATACAAAGTTATAGATCACATTTCTTTTACCAACATTAACTAGGATCTTATGTAACAACTTAATAATCCAGTGAATCACTCTCCTCACCAAGCAAGATTATAGGAAACGTCCTATTTAAATTATCTATTAAGCATAACCAAATAAGTATACTTTAACTAATCAATTCTTAGCACGAATTGAATTTATAACTCAATACACTATACCCTTTCCTATTCATTAAGCAAAATTTAACCAAAATAACTAAACTAGCTGCTGCCTCAACAGTAAATAAAAATTCATATATATGAACTTAATTAAATCAAAAAACTATAATTTCTCTAATCAAAAGTTGTTGCCATTTATACAATTCTTAGCCTCTAAATGAAAATTACCTCAATAACACCAAATCACCCACTAAATCAGAAAATTCATGAAATTTACTAGAAAAGGTTGAAATTTATTTACCTAGCTACAACGTGCGTCGGAAAATGAATTTTTCCAGTTAAAGTAACCGGCACCAGCAACCAAGCACCAACACCGTCACTGACGCCACTAACTTGACCGGGGATGCACGAGAAAGTGGCTGGAGGCACGTGGAGGTGAGGAAAGGGTGTAGTCCGGCCGGTCCTTGACTGTTTCGCTGGAAAAGTGAAGGGAACGCTGAAGGAGGCAGCGTCGATTGGACAAGCACAACTCACAGCTCCCCTCGTCCGCTAAACAAGACCGAGACAGGATAGAAAGGAAGGCCGGAGAGACATCGCCAGTGGAAGGAGTCAACCGGTCGAGCTGGAGTCACCGAAAAATCGAGATGGAGACGCGATTTCACGATTGAGTGAATCGCAGTTCTCCTGCGGTTGCTACGCTCGCCAGGAACGAAAGGACAGAGAGAAAGAGACCGAAGACATGTGGTGAGGAGGCGACGACAGTAGGGAGGCGATGGCGGCGAGGCGGAATCGGCGCTGGCTTCAGGTGATCGGAAAACCAAAAGGGTAGGGGGAGGGGCTGTGGCGCGATGGGGAGAGAAAGGAGAGTGAGGGATGGGATTTTTTTGGTATTTTCTTATTTCTGGAACATTCTAATTGGTCTAAGGCTGGTTTGGTTCGATTCAGAGTCTTTGCTTGGATTTCCTTTTGGTTTGTGGGTTTTCTAATGATTTTTATTTTAGTTATAGGTTTGGTTTAACAAATAAAATTATATTTGTATTAAATTTTTATTAAATAAATTGTAAAGCATTAATAAATTGTAAGAAGCAATTAATAATATATAATATATATTATATAATATATATATTATAATATATTAAGTATAATAAGGTCTTTAATACTATTGGTTAAAATTATATTTAGATTTTTAAATGAAAAACTTTTGAAAATAATTTTTCAGGTCATTTCAGTCTCTCCTTATAGAAGCTACTATTAAGATGAATTAGATTCCAACTTATACAAAATGTGTTCTCCATTTTTTATATAGAAGCTACTATTAACAATAACCATGTCAAATTAGTTTTAAAAATAAAAACAAAGCATTTTGTCAAATAATATTAAAGTTTTTGAATTGTTAGATTAGATATTCAATTATGCATAATTAAATATTTATATTTTTAAATAATTATGCATTGATTTTGTTGGCTAATAACTCAAAAATTACAATTGCAGGTTTGGAAAGATTTTCAAATTTGAAGAAATTAAAGGTTTTAGACCTTAGCTACAATGGATTCAACAGAAGCATATTATCATGGGTAACTCTTATGACATCGATTCAGATTTTGAATCTGCATTCCAATGGCATGGAAGGTTCCTTCCCTTATCAAGGTACGCTTTCATTTTTAATTTCCATTATTTTTGTTCACAATACTTTCATTTTTAATTTCCATTATTTTTGTTCACAATAATTTTTTTCTCTTTTACTAAAATTTTAATTTATTTCCCCATTGCATGGTTTAGAGCTAACTAAATTGCAAAACTTGGAAGTATTGGATCTAGGTGGTAATTATTTCTATGGCACCCTACCAATGCAAGGTAAATATATGCTAATCCTTCTGCTTATTAGCTTATTATCATATGATTTGACTTTTGAAAATAACAATAAGAGCTAAAGGAAAATATTATAAACCAAGTGAAATTAGTTTCTTATGAAATTATTATAAAAGTTACTGTGTAAGCGGCTGGAGAAACCAAGCTCCATAATAATCCGAAACTTTATTTTTTCTTTCCATATTAGAGAGAAATTAGAGCTTTAATTTCTAATAACAAAATGTTGTGTTTCATTAATTTAGAAGCTTAGATTAAGTTAACCCAAACTGATTTGGTAGGGTCCAATTTTATAATATTATATTACAAATCCTAGGTTAAATTTCAATTCGGGATGACAATACATCTAAGTTTGCAAGTTGGGATGCTGGAGAACAAAAGTCATTTTAGCGTGATACTGCAACAAGTCACAAAGTTGGGCAAATTTTATTAGGTTAAGCCAAATTTTATTAAATATATGCAAAGTCATTTTAGTACCATGTTGTTTATTTGCCTTTGATTGCTTCATTTTGCTTAGATGCTTAACATAATTGGAATATATATATTTGATTCTCCGGATAAAAATTATTTAATTTCTTTCTTACTTTTAATTATACAAATTAATTTTTAGCATCAACTTTGACATTTAAAGTTCAAGCATTACTTTTTTTTTTTTTTTTTTTTGTCTTATAGCAATAGATAAGTTTGTTTTTAGGATTTAATCTTTATATATAATTGTATTTTTTTTTTTTTTTGTCTTATAGCAATAGATAAGTTTGTTTTAGGATTTTAATCTTATATATAATTGTAATTTTTATGCTTTGTTAGTTTACAGAAAATAATTTACTGGAAATTTTTTTTTTTTTTTAGAAAAATACATTAATTTCTAATATTTAGCTATTACATAGAAAATCACTTAAAATAGTAATGTTTCAGCATTTGGTACAATATTAAGAAAAAAAAATAATTTTTCACATATAAATAATGCATTCCTATTTATTATATTTTACATAAATTGAAATATAAATCTAATTAAGTACATGAAAACGAAAAAAAGAATCAAATAAAAGATTAATCATTGCAATAAAAAAATTATTATAATAATTTCATTTTTAAGTCCAAAATAAAAGTTATATATTGGCCTCAAGTGCTAATATATGTGTGTATATATGTGGATCCCGTTTTATATGACATAGCCTAAGAGGAGGTGATTTGGGCTTTCTAAAAATTTAACTTTTAAAACTTTAGTCAGAATTCTGAAGTAGCAAAACTATAAAATTTTTATGAGAGTTGGTTATTACAATTAGAACTTCCTCGTAAGGCTATAAAAGGTTAGAAAACTAATTATAACTCAGATCCAGATTTCTTCAAAATGCATTAGGATATGTTATAATTGGAGAAGTCATAAACAAAAATCTAGAATTCTATTAATCTATAAAGATGGAGCTTTTACACTTTCAGAATTAGAATAATATAAACAATTTTGCATTTTAGAAAACATAAAATAAATGTGAAAATAGAGCAAGTGCAATTAGAAATTAAAAGAAGATTAACATAAGATTTATAGTGGTTCGGCATAACTCACCTTCATCCACTCCTCAATACTCATTTTGAAATTCTCCACTATATTGTCTCTTTTAAAGGGTAAGAGACAAACCAGCTATATAAAGGAAATAGATCAAATTCGTAGACCTAATTACCTTTAACCCACTAAATTTACAAAGTATCTAGTTGATCTTTACCCTTCTATTTTACAAAAAATTGAAAACTCAAATTCAAGACATTAGAATCTTACTAATGGAGAAGGTTGCTTGGTATCCCTTACAACACAGCTTTATCACAAAAGCTAAACACAAATGTTTTTAGCTGCCAACATTTCTCCAGAAGTTTCACTAATTTGGAATGAATATGCTTTAGTAATGACACCCCAAAATCCTGAAATCCATAAGTTCTATTCTTACTTGAATTACTAACATCTATCAACCTAGCAACATTGATATTGTGATTATTGATTATTCTAAAAAGCATTTTATGAGCACTAGAAATTTTACCGATAATTTAACATATATTAAAACAAGGAAAATAAATCATAGCAATAAGCTTATAAGAAATGGGATATAAATTGATATTAATACATAAATTTATTAGGTTTGATTAACGGACTACAAAGAAAAGTCAAAGACAAGAATTCTAAGGCTAAGCAATACAAACGAGAATAGAAATATTTCTTCCGTTCCACTTTAATAGTTATAAATGAACATTTTACTTTGTTTCGCTTTTAAGTGTTCATTAGGATTTTAAGAGTATATTAATAATTTGTTTTTAATTTTATCCACATTTATTAGGTGTAATTTATTTTTATTGTTTACATTTATTTTTCTCTTTTTTATCATTATTTTAATTGTAGTTAAACTAAAATTTTGATTAAACATATAAATAAAAGTTTTTCATTATCTCAAAGCAGGAAAAAATGAAATGGAATTACTACTCTAACAGCAGTACTTTAATATGAGATAAAATTGGCATTAATTGGTTTTATAATAAAATTAAATGAGAAGTTGTTAATTTTAAGAGGGGCAATTTAGGCATTCTACTATATATTTAAAAAATTAATATGTTCCAATCATTTTTTAAATTTTTATAAAAAAAATTAAATGTTACTATTAAAGTGGAAAGGAGGGAGTAACTTTTATTCTCTTGACAACAACCTATCATGATCGAGGAGCAAATTGAAAAAGAGAAAATAGGGAGAGAAATTAGTCATTATTATGCGCATTTCTGGAGCTTGAAAAGAACCAAATATGGATACTAATGAGTAATAAGCAATTTGCAAGAATAACCTGAACAAGACCAAAATCCATTACCACATATAAACCTAGCCTGAAACCAATCAAAACTGAATGATTAACAAATTTTCTTTTATCTGTTGAGGAAGTTGCCAAAATCTAAAAGATTGCAGAACCCTTACTTGTTTTAGCTAGATGTGAATGTGATTTTGTCGGAAAAGACTACCAATGCTAGTGGTCATCACCCACTTGTTTATTTTCTCTATTCACGCGGTTTGCAATTTTGGAGGCTCTTTCAGTTTGGAAAATGTTTTTTCATCCTCTAAAATAGGATTTATTTTTCTGTGTTTTCATCTTATTTTCCATTGACTATTATGTGTTTTCATCATTTTTTCTTATTGTTGTTTAGTATAATTTTTTTTAATGTAACAACAATAGTAATAATTTTCCTCTTTTTCTAAAATTTTAATTTATTTTCCCATTGCATGTTTCAGAGCTGGCTAGCTTGCAAAACTTGAAAAATTTGGATCTGAGTGGAAATAGCTTCAATTGCACCTTAACAATGCAAGGTAAATATTAGATTCCATATATGATTGCAGATTGTTATTAGCTTATTATCATATTATTTGGCTTTTGAAATCAATATTCAATTGACAATTGAATTTTCAATCACTTTGCATGATAAAATAAGGAGCAAAAAAACAAATATTTATATCATGTATATCATTTTTTTTTTTTTTTAACATTTGGACTTAATAAGTCTTTCAAAATATTCACATAGCTCTCTATGTCACTTTGATATCTGAGTATCATCATAAGTAATTTGTTTTAAAAACAAAAAAATTACACCATTTTTATGGTAAAATTACACCAATTTTACCTTCTTTTTCAGATTTTATAGCTTTAAAAAGTTTGGAGATTTTAGATTTGAGTGGGAATGATTTTTATGGTACTCTTTCTCCATATATGTGGGCACCTCCTTCTCTCAAAGTATTATCTTTACGAGACAACAGGTTTAATGGCTCCTTGTCAAGTAAGTATATTAAAATTTAAAAATTTCTTAGTTTATGGCTAATCTTTTAATATTTTTCATTTTCCCATCTAAATGTTAGTATAAAGTAATGGTCCCATTCCCATCGTTCCGTTTTTGGTTTCTCATTGGAGCCATTTGAATCATAGTACAGAGTCTTTGCCCATGTCATACATTTGAAGCCCAATTTCAGTCATGATTAAAATATTTTATATTGTAATATTATTTTATAATAAAATTCAGTAAAGAGTGTGAGCTTTTTTATATTAAACACAAATCCGGCACCAAATTCTTCAATAATTTCATTATTTTATTAAAATATTAAATATGGCTTGAGTAAAATATTATAATTTATAAAGCAACAAAATTCGGTAAATTACATTTGCATAATTTATAAAGCAATTAATTTTATACATACTTTTAAAATTTTCAATGAAGAATTTGACGTCATTCTCTTCTTTATTTTGGTTTTTATTTACGTTTATTTCGATTTCCAAATGGAGATGAAATTTTATTTACCTTTATTACTATTTTGTCTATTTACCTTTATTACTATTACTATTTTATTTACCATCATTACGTTTTTGGTTTCGTGTTTGTCATTGGAGCCATTTGAACCGAAGTATAGAGATTTTGCCCATGTCATACATTTGAAGCCCAAATTTCAGTCATGATTAAAATATTTTTATTATAATAATATTTTATAATAAAATTCAGTAAAGAGTGTGATCTTTTTTATATTAAACACAAATCCGGTCACCAATGACAATAGAGGTTGTACTATTTTCTCTATTTCCGTTTGCTCTTAGAAATTAAAGGGTTAAATTTAATGACCATAGAAATTAAAGTAGCAATGTAATATATAGATAGAGTAGAATGAGAATAACTCCTCCCACAATGGATTTAATACTAACTAAATCTTCACATTTCATCTTATAATTCCCAAATATATAGAAAGCCATTTGTAGATTAATAGTACTATTTTTTATAAGCTAGTGTTTATAAAATATATACACGAGATTAGTTTATTTAGACCCAGTTATGAGTCCATCCATAGATCCCTCTGTTCCATTTTGTTTGCTTGTTATTCATTTTTTAGATGTCCCCAAATTGTTTGCAACATTTCTAAATTTTTATATATAAATAATTATTCTTCCCATAATAACTTTTATGATCATTCATTAAATAAATGACTTTTATTAATATCTTAATGAGTTAAGGGTAAAAAAGGGCAAAATAACTTTTGTTGACTAAAGTCTTAATATGCATGTTTTGTCAAACAATCCAAATAAAATGGGACGGAGGAAGTAATTTTTTATTGAAACGAGAGTATTTTGACCATTCACTAAACAAAAAAGATATTGTTGAGAATAATTTTTAAAAATATTTATTCTAATTAGTTTCATTTATGAATGGGCTCATACATGGGGTCTAGACAAGTGTAATTTATATATGCTAATTAAAGACTCTTCTTGATGGATTATATAAGTGAAAAATTATCATTATTATTAACTAGTTTTATTAAACGTGCGTTGCATGTTGCTTGTACCTGTTGAACATACTCGTCATTTAATTCCATTCAAATATTATCTATTTAATTAGCAATATTACTCTTTCTTTCACAAAATATTAGAATTTATAATTGAATTAAAATTTTTTTCCTTTTTTATATTAAAACTTCTATTTGAGTTTAAAAATTCTTAATTGATTTAAAATATTTATTCTTTATTCTTTATTTTTTTATTTTACATAAATATTCCTAAATGAACTAAAATATTTATTCTGTTGAAATTTTAGTCTTTCTAAATAAGCAACACTTACCAAATTTTTTTTTTTTTTGAAAGGAAAATGGTATTCATTAACAAATATCATCAAACAAAATGAAACAAGTAGTGACATAACCCCACTCCTTTAGATCAAACCAAGAATATAATTGAGTAGCTAATAAGTGGGCCACTCTATTCGCTGACCTCTTTACAAACCCAATAGAACAATATTGCAATTCGTTCATTAGATGTTTACACTTAGAAACAACACTACCAAAATAGGATAGATCCTCTTTCGACCGATGCATGGCCTGGACAAGTAAAAGAGAATCCATCTCAAATTTGTTTTTACCCAGTTTAAGCTTCGCGAAAGGATAGAGCCTCTATTGTTTGAGGATCAACTCCTCCGTTAAGTGTTTTCTGACAGACATTCCACATCTTCCCACCTGCATCCCTAAGCACCCTGCCTGCACCTACTAGTGGGGATGAGTTGCCCAATGCTGTGTCACAGTTTCATTTTAGGTAACCTGGTGGAGGTTTTATGCAAAAAAATTGATCCTTGTTGTGCAAGAGAATTGAGGCTAACCCGAGGCAAATTCGTAAGTGTACGAAATCGCAATAAGTAATAAAGAATGAGTAGAGTATCGTTCCACAAGAATGGTATACCAAGTACTAAAATTATGTTAATCTACTATTATTTAAATGATAATAAAGAGAATCATTAAAAAATAAAAGAAATAAAATAAGGCGATGAAAAAGAACTCAAGCAAGAATATTTGATGAAAAGAAATCAAGGATTAAAAGCTACTGAGATTTTAACTTCACTTAAATCTATCCGATTTATTCTATTAGTTTGATAATCAAATTTTAATTATTCAAGTAGGGGAAACAACCCTAAAATTACTAACAAGCTCTCCCAATGTGTTGTTAGCTATTTTAACTCGGTCTAATTACTTATCTTCCAATAGCGCAATCAAACATGAATTAAATCATTAAGTTTTATGGTTTGTTTATAAATTCATCAAGTAGGGGGAACAACACTAAAATTACTCAACAAGCTCTCCCCCAATGTGTTAGTTAGCTATTTAAATCGGTCCTAATTACTATCTCCAATAAAAGCCGCAATCAAACATGAATTAAATCATTAAGTTTTATGGTTTTTGTTTTATAAATTCATAAATATAAGATAGTTTAAACCTTATAAAAACTTCCAATGAGTCCAATACCATAAATCAATAAAAGTATAGTAAAATTCCCCGTTATTTATTACTTACTTTTTTTTTCATATCAAAAATCCTCTCTCTAATAGTGAGTTAATAAATAAATCATATCCAGGGGAGAAACTTCTGCCTTGAAAGCATTACAGTTCAATAATAAATTGTAATCTTTGAATAAGAAAATAAATGTATTTATATTAGATAGAAAATTAAGCTACAACATCAAAATCCCCTAGTTACAAAGAGTTTAGTTCCGATCATAGTAATTAATTAAAAACTCAATTAAATTTGAAAATAATTCCATTGTCAATAATGGAATAATGAAAAGTAGAAACAATGAATAATGAAAAGTAGAAACAAGAATAAGAGTTTAGAGATAGAAACTAGTCAACGAATAGCGTGGGCGGCTTCCTTGATTCTTTACACAAACTTGAATGCTCGAAATCTTAAAAGAAAGAAAAGAAAGAAAAGAGTAGAACAAAGATCTCAAATCCAAGATTCAATGTTGGATTGTTGCAGTGATCTCTCTTTATATAGACTTCGTAGGGTGTCTTTGAATCCTCCAACTAGGTGACAGACCTTTTCACAAGTGCACGAAATCACAAAGAAGTAATAAAGAGTGAGTAGAGTATCGTTCCTACGAGGATTATATACTAAATATCAAAATTTTGTTAACCTACTATTATTTAAACGACAATAAAGAGAATAATTCTACAACTAAAAGAAATAAAATAAAGCGATAGAAAAGAACTCGAGCAAGTAATTGTTGAAAAGAAATCAATGATTAAAAACTACTAGGGATTTTGACTACTAGGGATTTTGACTTCACTTAATTCTATCCTATTTATTCTATTAGTTTAATAATCAAATTATAATTGTTCAAGTAGGGGAAACAACCCTAAAATCACTAACAGGCTCTCCTGATGTATTGTTAGCTATTTTAACCCGGTTTAATTACCTATTTTCCAATAGCGCAATCAAACATGAATTAAATCATTAAGTTTTATGGTTTATTTGTGAAATCATAACCTAAGATCGTCAACTTATGAAAATCCCCCATGAGTCAAACCATATAACTTTCGCATCAAGTTATTATTCTCATGTAATTTATTACCTTTTTTTATATCAAAAACCCTTCTTCAAAAAACCCCTTCCTCGATAAGTGATTAAATGAAATAGAATCATTCAAGGGAGAAACTTTGCGTTGAAAGCATTAAGTTCAAAAATATAAATATATGAATAAACAGAAAGCAAATCTAATATATAAAATTGAAATAGAAATAAGCCTACACAAATCCTCTAGTTATATGAGAGTTTAGTTCCGACATAAGTAATTAATAAAACTCAATTAAAACTTGAAAAATATTCTCCAGATAATCAACATGAATATTGAAAATAAAAACAAGAAAAAGAGAAGTTTAGAATAAAAACTAGTCAAACGATTTGCTTGAGGCGGCTCCATTAGAATTCTGACACTAACGTTGATTTCTTGAAGTCTAAGAGAGAGAAAAAATATTAGAATAATTATAGAACGGGAGATGAGTAATATACAATGACATGGATTCGCATTCTTACGGCTAGTTCCTCTCTCTTAATGTAGCTTTATATAGATTTTCTGGAATATCTTCGTGTTCGTTTGGGAAAGTGAATCTCTATTTAGTAAGAAATTTTTTGGAGATAGGAAACTATTTAGGCTTTATATTTCTTCCCAATTAAGACTCTCCCAGCATCTAAATAGGATTTCAGCTTGATTAGGCACATCCCATAAGATTCTCATGCAGGCAGCACGGGTTAAAGCTGAAATTTTTTGCCTAAGTTGAATTTTGCAGATTAGCACGGGGGTGCTAAATAGCACGCCCTTCGCGTGCTTGAATCTGATCCTCATTTGATTTTGCCTTGGAAACAACACGGGGGTGCTGGGTAACACGCCTCGGGCGTGCTAGCCTTTTTTTCTTAGGTACATTCTTTTCTGCATTTTTGGTTAGTTTTCTATAAAAATCCTACAAAATTCCTCAAAATCAAGTGAAATATAATTAAAGGAAGTTTTGAACAAAAATATAAATAATACTAAATAAAAACTAACCAAAGTAATTAAAAATACTAAAAATTCTAATAAAAGCTATATTAAAAATTCTATAAAAATAACACCTATCACTAGGAAACTAGCTGGCCTAATTAGGAAGAGATATTATTTGAATAGGAAACTAGTTTTGTGTTATATTTTTTCCTAATTAGGAGTCTTATTTGACAAAATAGAGCTGGAACTGAAACAAGATAAGTCTGCTATTATTCCCATACAACTCCATGCACAAGCCACACCTAGACCTCAAATTTGGTAACACCATGGCCAGGCCATGTACTTTACTGACTTGGCCATGTTGAACTTTAACTCCATTTTTTGGCCAGGCCATGTACTTTACTGACTTGGCCATGTTGAACTTTAACTCCATTTTTTAGCTCCAATCTTCTTTGATGCAAATTTTGGCTATTTTCCTATTAAAAACCCTTCAAATCAAGCTTATCAAGAATCCAGGAAACTTAACTAAAAACATAAATAATTCTAAACAAAAATTAATCAAAGCAATTAAAAAATGCTAAAAATCCTAATAAAAATAAACTAAAAATACTATAAAAATAAGACATATCATCTTTCACAATATCAAACGCTACATTATATGCAAAAATTTTGTCAACTTTTATTTTAAATGGGTTCAACCTTTGTCCTGACATGGCATAGTTTGTTGAGATTTCATTATTTTCAACGATTTCAGGTACTTGAGTTTCTTCTAGAAACTTATTAGTCATGTCAGGAACTTTTTCCGTAGTTTGCTCTTCTAAAACTTGGTCATCTTAAATATTTGCTTTTTTTCTTTTTCTAAGATTTTTATCCTTAGAAACGATTGGTTTACCACACTTTAGGCATGCCTTAGACTCATTTGCACATGCAATTTGTCCTTTAAGGGCTTCAATTTTAATATGAGCATTTGCAGCTAATACATAAGATTTAGTAACTCTTTTTAGGTCAGTAAATGCGTTTGGCAATTGTTTTGCAACATTTTACAAATGGATTATCATTTGTACATTTCTAAATGGGTTCGGGTACCTAATTTTTAAATGTAATTAACTTAAAATTATTGATTAAAAATAAAATAATTTAAAAATTATATTATTTAAATATAATTAACTTTAAAAAATATTAATTAAATAAAATAAAATAATTTAAAATTTTCAAACTCATAATAATCCATATATCAGTTAAAATAATTGTAAATAAATTTTAAAAATGTATTCAAGATCCAATTAAATTGTAGAAAAATAAAATAAAATTCTAAAAATTTCTAAAAAAAAGAAAAAAAATAGAAGGATGAAAGGAGAGAACTATCTAGAATTTTATTTTGATTTATATTTTAGTTGAATGATTATTATTATTAAACCTTTTGTAATTAAATTTATTTAAAATCTCAAAGAATATAATTAATTATTTGAAATTTTAAAAAAGAATATACAATAAAAGAAGAATTTTTGAAATATTTTTATTCAATGTTTTATTAATTATTTGAAATTTTAAAAAAGAATATACAATAAAAGAAGAATTTTTGAAATATTTTTATTCAATGTTTTTATATAAATTTTAATTATAAAAATCTAGATTTTTGTTTATGTCTTTATTTATGTATTGTCTCATTACTTTAATCAATAATTCTTTACTTTGTATTTAAGATTTAATATCATTAACATAATTAGTATAAAATAAATAAACAAAAACATCAATTAAATATTTTATTAATATTATTTTTTAACGTTTTAACAAACATGAAAATTAAATTGATTTTTTTCCATGTATCAAAAAAAAAAAAAATTGTTTCCACAATACTTTAGATTTAAATATTATGTTTAAGAGAATATTGATTAGGATTTAAGTAATAGAATGTATTAGAGTCATATTTAAACACTATAACTATATTAGAGTTGAGTTAGAGATAAATTCATAAAAAATACAAATAATTTTTATTAATCAATTAAAATATTAAACAATTTAAGAATATTTTTTTGGTTAACTTTTTTAATAAAAATAATTGATATTTGTGATTTATGAATTACATTTTATTTTAATAAAGTTTTTTTTTGAGAATAAAAAACTGAAATATTTTAAATAAATTTTTAATTATAATAATATTTAATATTTATCTTTTTTATAGAATATTTAATAGTTAGTTATTTATATCTTCAAAAAAAAATCAAATTATTTGAGATTTAAAAAATTTTAATATGTGGCCAATCAAAATACAAATAACTAAAACCAAAATTCTAAAAAAAAAAAAAAGAAAAATACAATAATTGATGGCTTAGTTGAGGAAGAGCAAAATAAGATAGAAAAGTCCATAAATAACAGGCCATGATCAAGTGCAAGTACAAAGTTCAGCAAGCATCAAAAAGTTGGCAAATAGATTGAAGATAAAAACCGAAAATCATGTTATTTTCCCCTACAATGTGGGCGAAGGATGTATAGACCAGACTCTAAACTCTATGCTTTAACGTAATAGTTGAAGATGCAAACAAAGATTTCAACGTTTAAAGAATTGCCAAGTAAACTAAATCTGCATATAATAACAACTCCATGTTCTTGAAATGATAAACATCTGATTCTGAGACACATTTATACATCCATTATATCTTCAAATTGCTGTCTGTTGTTAGTTTTGATATCCAATAATAATACTAAAAATATCAGCTAGATATATATCAAGACTCTAAGCAAGATATGTAAGAGTTAGGAAACAATACAAATACCAAAAAAATAGAAATAGCATACATATAGAAACCTTAATTTATCAATTGATACCCTAATAATCTCATTTGCAAATCTGTTCCAGCAAATAAAGAAGGGAAAACCTTCCATTCAATATCAAAGCAATCCCAAAATTTCCAAATTTGACCAAATTCAAAATCGAAAAAAAGAGAGAAGCAAAACAATAGACCTTCCTTTGCAACGAACTCCTCCAACTTGAGAGTAAGTTGGTGCCAGAGTTTTCCGGGCATAACGATTATCTGTATCAACAAACCATAATTTATAAGCAATTTTGAGTTGGTTGTAAAAATACTTGAAATAGCGACGACCAGATCGCTAAAAAAATGTATCGATGTATATATAGAGAGGTGGACATATTTATATAGATGTAAATAAAAAAAATTTTAAAAATTTTTAAAGTTGTAATTATCTAAATGTAATTATATTAAAAATAATAGTTAGATAAGATAAAAGACTTTAAAAACTTCAAATTCGTAATAATCTATACATACCTATTAAATTTTGAAAATACTTTTAACATCCAATCAAACAGTAGAAAAATAAAATAAACTCCCAAAATGTCTAAAAAAAGAAAAATAGAAAGCTGAAAGGAGAGAATGGCTTGAAACTTTCTCTTTATTTCAGCTTTCATATATATACTAATTGAAATTCCGCACTTCGCTCGTGGCGGGTAATTGATATTGTTTAAATAATTGTTATCTTTCTTTTCAAAAAAAAAATGTTTTGCTTAAGTTATATTATTATTATTATTATTTTAAAAAAAATTATTTACAATTTTATGCTAAAATGAATAACAAAAATGCAAACATTAAATTCATATCAGTTGAATAATAAAATCATCCAATGAAAAACCAGGTTAGATGACAATGATACAACACGATAGCTGATAATGAAGAAATGAACGTAGTAAACATGCACACACATCTAAAAGAACACTCAAACCACTAAAAGAATATTTAAAAGAACACTCAACCACTAAAAAGAATACTGCACAATTTATATTACAATTATTTAGAATAATGATGATAATAATGAATTGCATTAGAAGGTGAAGAAGTATAATATATGTAAGATGTTTTTTCCGTGGACTAGGTTTGCACATATCAAAATTTAAAAGTTAAAGTTGCAGTTGACTTATGTTAGAATGATTAGATTAAATTAAGTTTCAAAAACTTTATTAAATTATTCTATTAATTACAAAAACTTTACACCGCCCGCGCGGTCCAATAAATACAGAAAAAAGAAACAAGTTTAAATTTTTTTAAAAAAAAGACAAATACAAATGCCCTAAACGAAGAGAAACGTGTTAACAATTTCTTATTTTTCAGCCTTTCCATAATATAATATATAATTATTGTTTCAACATAGTTAATATAGACATATTCAAACTCCAACTAAATCATAAGGCATATATGGATTCATTAGTACAACCAATAAAGATAGATTATCTTGATTTTAATATATGGATATACACATCATAATTAATTTACATTTAAACGAACTAAGTTTGTCCTCACTTTCAGTCCTGTAAAATATTATTATACATTAAATGGATGACTAATATTTGAACTTATATTAAGAATAAAATATTCAATATTAAAATAAAAATACAATATTTCTTAATTAGAATTTAATAGAAGATTACATATAAACACATGCAAGCCACGTTTAAAAATACGGATGATAAACTTAAAAGATTAGTTTCCTCTATTCATTATTTAAACTACTTTCCTCTGATAAAACTCCTTACCTTTGTTTGGATGAAGGTTAATTTGGAGGGTTTGGAGAGTAAAGTAAGGTAAACCTTAATTTTAACCAGAACTTATTGAATTAATTGGTGATACTTAAAATTTATCGTGAAATTCTAAAACAATTGTGAAATTTGAATTGTCGCGTTTTTAAGTGGAACAATCCATTGGGTAGATTATTTATTTTATTTTTATTTAACATGGGTAGACTTGATTAACTCACAACAGAGACATTCTGTAATTGCTTTCCACAAGGTTATTGTTGAGCCGGCTACAGGTTTGTGCGGCTTGAAGCGACTTGAAAAATTAGACCTATCCTATAATATGTTTGGAGGCAATCTTCCTCGTTGTCTCGACAATTTAACATCAGTTAGATACTTGGTTCTATCCAACAACAATTTCACAGGGCATGTTCCTTCTTCTTGGATATCTCGTCTCAAATCCCTCAAGTACATTGATCTTAGACAAAATCTTTTTGATGGATCATTCTCTTTCAACTTATTTGCTAACCATTCTCACCTTGAGGTGGTCGACTTCAGTGACAACAAATTTATGTTTGCGACAAAGTATTCGGGTTGGGTTCCACCATTTCAGTTAAAGATTCTTGTCTTGCAAAATTGCCATCTCTCTCGTATTCCTGAGTTTCTCTATCATCAGTTCAGATTAAAAAATGTCGACTTGTCTAACAATAAAATACAAGGAAGGTTTCCTGTTTGGTTGCTTGACAACAACACAGAACTTGCCCGTCTAATCCTAAAGAACAATAGTTTCATTGATCCATTTCATTTACCATCAAACTCTAGCTTCAATATTTCTAGTTTGGATGTCTCCGATAATTACTTCAATGGATCGCTTCAAGAAATTGGCGAAAAGATGTTTCCCAACATTGAGTTTCTCAATTTATCTAAAAATCATTTTCAAGGCGATTTTCTTTTCTCGCCCAGCGACAACTGTAAATTGAGAAGCTTGGATTTGTCTTTTAACAGCTTCTCAGGTGAAGTACCGGAGAAAATGATTTCGAGTTGCACTTCTTTGCAAATTCTAAAGCTATCTCATAATAACTTCCATGGCGAAATATTCACTGCTCGATTTAACCTTAACTTATGGTCTTTGCATTTGAATGACAACAGTTTCATGGGAACTCTATCAGGCATTTCAGTCACCCAGTTCTCTCACCTAACAGTATTAGATCTAAGTAACAATAGATTTCATGGTGAGATTCCAAGATCTAAGTAACAATAGATTTCATGGTGAGATTCCACACTGGATCAACAGCATCACAGATTTGCAGCATGTAAACCTTTCTCATAATTCTTTCAGAGGTGAAGTATCATGTGAATTTTTTTCAGCTATTTACGTAGACCTCTCCTATAACAACTTTTCTGGATCATTGCCTGACCTCTCCTATAACAACTTTTCTGGATCATTGCCTTCTTGTTTCAACCAGATTCCTTCATACTTTAGAGAAACAAGTTATATAAATTTGCAAGGTAACAGGTTGACTGGATCAATACCAGATGATTTTCTCAACAAACCAGGACTGTTGGTATTAAACTTGAAAGATAACAGCCTCGCAGGCAGCATTCCCAATAAATTCGGTACATTTCCAAAATTACGGGCTCTTCTATTGGGAGGAAATTATTTAAATGGTTTCATTCCGAATTGGCTGTGTGAACTAAATGAGCTCAACTTCTTAGATCTTTCAAGAAACTCTTTTTCTGGCTCTATACCCAACTGTTTATACAATCTCTCCTTTGGAAGGACGAAAGTTGATGGTGATCTGTTTGAAACACAATTATCGTTTGGTTCCATACCATATGGCGTTTACATTACTGGAGATGCCCTGGGCGGAGCTCAGTTTTATGTAGACCAAATAAATTATATCATTGTTGACCCAAAAATTGAGTTTGTTACAAAACGACCCAAAAATTGAGTTTGTTACAAAACGTATGCCTTACAATTATAAGGGTCATATTCTCAACCTCATGTCTGGATTAGATTTGTCGCAAAATAAACTAACAGGTGAGATTCCATTTGAGCTAGGGAAGCTATTTCAGATTCATTCCTTGAACTTATCCTATAATCAATTGATAGGATCGATTCCGGAAACATTCTCGAATCTCACAGCATTAGAGAGCTTAGACTTGTCTTAAGAGCTTAGACTTGTCTTATAATCATTTAAGTGGAGAGATTCCTTTCAGTTTAATAGATCTCCACTTCCTAGAGGTGTTCACTGTGGCTTATAATAACTTATCAGGCAGGATTCCAGACATGAAGGCGCAATTCAGTACTTTCGACAATAGCAGCTACCAAGGCAATCCATTTCTCTGCGGACCTCAGATAGGGAAAACATGCAATAATGAGTTAGCAAATTCACCACCAATGGTACATGCAGAACTGGAAGACGGAAAATGGTACGAGATTGACCGTTTGGTTCTTTTCACAAGCTTTTCAGTATCTTTTTCAATTTTCTTTGTGGGTGTCATCACTATTCTTCATGTCAATCCTTATTGGCGAGGAAGGCTTTTTTATCACACTGAGCAGTTTGTGTTATCTTGTTATTACTTTGTGTATGATACTTTCTCCAAGTTGTTATTTGGTCGTCTATTCCATTAACAAGTAATAGGTAAAACTTATTTTAGATATGCCATGGTTTGAAGTTTGCTTATGAATAAAAGACAGTGAGTTCGATTCGGATATGTATTTATTAGACCAAAAATTCTCCAGGAATGTTTGTTGCACCTAACCAGTAACAAGTTTGGATTTTCCATGTATTTGCAAATAGAAGCAGCTTCTCAATTTTACAAGTCATCTGAAAAATTCTCATTACCACATGAGAAGCCTGAATTTTTGGCCCTTATAAGCCTGAATTACATATTCTATTGTAGTTTGTTAATACAAGAATGAAGCAGATTCAAATTCATTACTACAAATGCTATTATTGGTAAGAGCATTGAATTATTTGACCTCTTCTGTTTAGTGTTTTTCAATGTTAAATAGACTGAGAGAGATACTTGGTGAGCGAGAGATGGAAAATACTTAAAAACATTTCATATAAAATATAAATTGAAACATAAAAATATTTATTAATTTAATTTTTAAATTTTTAATTGATACAAATAAAATATAAATTCAAACATAAAAAATAAATTGTCTAAATTTTTATTATAAAATATTCTTTAATTTTATATGCCTCAACTTGAATTATAAAATATTCTTTAATTTTATATGCCTCAACTTGAAAAATAAGTTTTCTAATTTAGAAATAACTATTTATAAAAAAATTAATTTTAAAATTTTTTAATTAAAAATTCAGGTATTACCACTGTTCTCTGGACCAGACCTATCGGTTCAACCAGTTTAACTGGGAATTGGATTGTAGTTGTAATACCCGGTAATTTTATATTTAAAACTTTCTAAATTAATCAAATAAAAATCTGAAATTTTCTTAATGGAGCTACGGATATTTTTAATCTGAAAGATCTAAGCCCACACCGGAATGCCAAATTTAAAACCGAAAATTCTACTAATAAAGTTATATAAAAAAAATCTTAATTAAAATTAATTATTTATCTTATATCAAAAGTTGTATTTATTGTTTTAGGACTTTTCTATTAAAAATAAAAACAAAACACATTTTATAGCATTGTGTTATTAAAGTAACAGTCTAAAACTAAATATTATTGAATCAAATAATAAAAAGCCTAGACTTTAAAAGAAATCTCTAGAAACATTGAAGCCTAGAAGAATCCAAACCAAACCGCTAACTAAGTTGATCGAACCAAGCATAAAGCATTAAACCCGTTAAAAATCTTGAAGTTTTCCATTTGAATTGACCGAACCAGTAAATTGAGCCTGACCAGATATAGACCAATCAAGAACAGCCGAACCAGTAAATTGAGCCTGACCAGATATAGACCAATCAAGAACAGGAGAGAGAAACAGTCAACAAAAAGGAAAAAGGAAGCTCGAAACCTCCTCTTCTCGATCGCAGACTACGATTTCCCCCTCCCTTTTTCCGATCAGATTTTCGGCCACAAAACCGACGAAGCTAGGTGGCGATCGACTTCCTGGACACTGGCGACCTCAGTTCCGGCCTCCCTTTCGCCGATTGGAGCTTGATTAGGACTAACAGATGCTCTCTCTCTTGTGGTGACACTAGCCTCCTCCGACCCGCTTTTCCGACTTTCGGCGAGCCCCAATCGGCAAGACTGCTATTGGGATGCTCCTCTCTTGGCGCTGACTATTTCCTTCTCACTGAACAAACCTCCAATAGCGCAAATCGAATCTGTAACGATTAGATAGCTTCCCTGCTTCGATTTTCCGGCAAGCCAAGCTCTTTCCGGTAGTTTCTTTCACTAAGGTAAATCGAAAGCTAGTCATTTCTGCGTCTATCCAGTATTCTTTAAATTAGTTTGGCTTTGAGCTTAGAAATTAAAGGACTTTGAAATGTTAGGTTCTGAAGTTGTGAAATTTGAGGATTTGTTACAATATGGTATTTTCTATAGAGTTTGATCACAAAATTGAACTCCTTATACGTCTTGCTTTGGTTTTATGTATGATGGCGAGATTTTGGGTCTGCAACCCCTCCGGCCACTATGGACGGTGACGGTGGCAGGCGTCACTCTGCTGACCAAAATAGTCTCGAATAGGTAGAATGTTGGATTTGTCATATGGATTCCGAATATGCAATTAGAATTGCAACCTGACCTCGATTAATAATTAAATCGTTCATTAGCGCATTTGTGTATAGACTTTTAAAATCGAAAATGTCTAGAACTCAGTTATCCTTGTATTGCATAACTCACCTATTACAAGGTAGCTAATAATCAGAAACTCCGTAGAATTGTTTAGCTACTTAAATCTATATATGTGGAAACATAGTTAATAAACTAAGAAGTAATGCAAATTTGGTACATAGGCTTCTAAGCTGAAAAATCATAGAAATGGATAAAATAGCAGTTAGTGTGACCTTAGAAAGACTTAGTCAGTTAATTAGATAATTGTTAATTTAGTTTAACTAGAGTCGATTACTGTTATGAGTTAAAGTTGAGGAAGTTTTAGTTCTATATAAATACAACCTTGAACCTTAATACCTCCAAGTATGAATTATAAATCTAAGAAAAAAAAACTACTGTTCTTAATTAAAATACAATTTAGTTGCTCGTAAAAGAATGTACTAACCTGTAGCTCAAATATGGATGAGTTGAGCTATTCACTATAAAGGGAAAAAGAACTATTTGTGGTTTTGAGCTATTCACTATAAAGGGAAAAAGAACTATTTGTGGTTTGTTTATTTTGATAATGTAATTATATAGCATTTTGATAAACTAAGAATATGATATTAATTGGTATTAATTATGAATTGAGTAAATGTTTAGATGAATGAATAATGGTTAATGTACTAACTTGTAGCTCAAATATGGATGAGTTGAGCTATTCACTATAAAGGGAAAAAGAACTATTTGTGGTTTGTTTATTTTGATAATGTAATTATATAGCGTTTTGATAAGCTAAGAATATGATGTTAATTGGTATTAATTATGAATTGAGTAGATGTTTAGATGAATGAACAATGGTTATAGCGGACGAGATTAGTTGTTGTGAATTGCCCGATGGATGGGCTTTGAGAATTTATTATTGAATTGTAGTTTTAAGGAGGTGGTTTAATCCAATTTTTAGGGGAGGTTCTACCGAAATTTCGACAGAATCTAGATTAGTTTTACTTCTAAATAGGTTGTAGGATTTGTTTAGGATAATCCTTTATTATTGTTTAGGAGAAAGCTTTATTTAATTTTTTCCTCTCCTTCCAATTTCATTTCATTAGAATCGCTCTAGTTTGTTCATTGCTCCAACAAATTAGAATCCAAATTATTGTCTTTCCTCATCTATCATTGTAAGTAATAATAAATAGTAAATACCATTTGCATTATACGTAAAATCATTATTATATAACGCTTTGTCTATTTATTTATTTATTTTCCAAGTACCAATTATTATATTAGCATTTGTTACTTTTATGTTTATTTGTATTTGCACATGAATGTCTATTTGTGCACTTGCATTATAATATTTAATTGTTTGATGTACTTGCATTTAATTGCTATTTGTGCACTTGCATTATAATATTTAATTGTTTGATGTACTTGCATTTAATTGTACTTCTTGATTACATGTGTTGTGATAATGATGTGCTTTGTTTGATTGGAATTGAGATGAAGTGGGTCACTGTAGGTTTGTGAGGGCGGTCTAAGATACTGTCGGCCATGTATGAGGAGATCGGCGCTCTCATATGCATCTGATGATATATATTATATGGAAAACCACGAAAAGAGGGAATAGAAAAATAATAAGAGGGCTGGTCAAGTGAGGATTAGATCGGTCAGCCATGCATGGGGGATCGGCTCCCTGATGCACACATTATGAGAGGACGGGTCATGTGTGAGGACAGCTTGTCGAGGGTTTTGGTGACCTACAGACTAATCTCCACTTGTTTGATTATGTGAAGATGATATTGTTTGTGGGTGCGATTGATATGCCATATGTGTGTTTAAATGAATGTTCACTTTTAGAATACCTAGGAGCATGTTGTGTGATTGTATGAGCATGTATTGTTTGGCATTATTTAATGAATTGAAATACTCACTTCTACTTCACGTCATTTCTTTCAGGAATCTTGGTTACTGCCTCTATATTAGCCAGAAGCTCTGTATCCTTTCATCTTTAGAGCTAGGTGGAATAAAGTTTAGTTGAATTATACTCTTCTTAACTGAATTTTCTTATTATTGTATATTTTGTAGAGCTCCGCAATTACATTAGGAAAGTAATATATGTAATAAGATATCCAAAAATATCTGATCTCCAGGAATAATTATTTGAAAATTGTGAATGAAACTTAGTGCTGAATATTGTCAGGCAAGCTCCATAGATGCTTTTATGAATGCTGATGGATTGATAGTAAAACAAGCCCTGGTTACTAATAATTCTCGAATGATGATGATATATCGAATTGGGCCCAGGTTTTCAGGTATATATATTCATACAGAGTTTGTGTTGTGAACATCCTTATTGGACTTAATGAATATTATTGGTGTCAAAGGCTTGCCACGGGTCTCGGTGGCTTCAAGCCTATCTGGGCCCTAGTATCGGTTCGACCCATGGCAATGGCTCGTGACAAATCAGGTCTGAGTTGCATAGAAAACCGCCAGTCTTAAAAATCGGAGTGAACCGGTAAAAACCGGATGAAAACGGGCTAAAAACCGGTGAACTAGACTGGTTTTTAACCGGTTCGATTGAAATTCTTGAATACAAACACTAAGGTGTAAATTAAAAACCCAATTGCATGATATAACAAAAAAAAAAAGGTATCACTTTAAAAAAGGGGGAGGAAGAACAATGAAAACAAAAATGTGAAAAGATGATAAAGGAAAAGAGAGCAGAAGCTTAGAAAAAGACCGCAAAAATGCAGCAAAAAGAGAAAACAAAAACCTTAGCAAAAAAGGAAAAGAGAGAACATAAAAAAAGGTAATCGACAATCAACCTACAAAGAATTCGATTTTTGAGAATCAATAAAAGGTAAGAAATAACTCTTCGAGCTGAGAGCATCAATTTATTTAATCCATTCTTGTTGTTTTTCTCTCTTTAGTTGCTTGATAGAGTTGTATTTTGATTCATTTTATTTTTTTCATTTAATCTATTTGTTCTGTTGTAAATAATCATTTAAATATGATTTTTATTATATAAAAATGAATCTAAGTAGTGTATAATCAAATTTATATAAAAATGAATCTAAGTAGTGTATAATCAAATCAATTTAGTATTAATATGAATGAAGAATATAAGTTTTTGTAGGTTAATTGAATGATTTTTGTTCTTAGAAAATATTGAAACTCATTTGTTTATATCAGAAAGATACTAATACGTAGAGGCTTTCGCACTGTTGTTAAGCCTTATGTATTAGTAACAATTCTTTACGCACAAGTTGCTCGTTTGTTTATCAGATATAGACTGATATGTAAGAGGCTTACGCATTTGTTGTCAAGTCTTACATACCAATAATAATTCTTTACGCTCTAGTTAATCAAAGATAACATACCAATTAATGGTTTGGATTGTCCTCATAGTTTTGTGTTGTTCATTTTGTTATATTATATTTTCCTCATTTATCTTAATTCTGATTTTTCAAATTGATTTTTTTATTTTTAATAATTCACATGTAATCTATATATATATATATATACTATAATATTATACTATATATATAATATATATATATATATATATATATATATAATTCTTAAAGCAAAAAAATCTTAAAGCAAAAAATGTTTTAAAAATGCTGATGTGACGCTCTATTTTTCAACATTCTAATTTTTCCTGTTAGAAATTTTTGGAATTTTTTCTTTTTTTTTTTTCTCTTCACTTTTCCATATTTTAATTGGATATATATCTTTTTAAATTTTTTTCTCTTAATAGATAAATACAACTTTGAATTTTTTGAATATTTTCTATCTGCAAAATAAATACTAATATCTATTTATATATATTTATTTATACTGAACCTAGAACGTATAGAGTTTGCAACTCTCTCATTCCTATATCTATTTTGCGTTCAAGTTGGATTGATTTATGGCCGCCTCGTCTCTCTATTTTGCTTTCAAGTTGGATTGAGAAATATACAAAGAAAGGATGGAGAAGAAAAGAATTACATCTCGAAATAATTAACAAACCTATAACTAATTAATTACAACTCCTTTAAAAACAACCTGCAACCAATTGATTACATCTCCTTTAAAAATATCTTACAACTATTTAATTACATTCTTACAAATAATGAGTAAATAAATAAATAATTTAATCAAATAATCTCAACCATTCATCTAATAAAACATACCATACACCCTTAATCATTCATCTAATAAATATATAACCAAATAAAGAATAAAATCTCACATAATTTAATTATTTTAATTATAATTACAAAAATAAGACAAAAACAATAATAATTTAAATTATGATACAAGTAAAGAATTAACACTAATTAAATTAAACTTATCATAACTCAACTAAAAAACATTTAAAATCAAATAAAACTAGGAGACGGCTTGCACATTGCCTGGGGTGCTGTTTATAACTTATTTTTCCGTAGATTGCATTATTAAATTATCGTGCTATAATAGAAATGTAATGTCATTAATTTATATTAAATAATTATATATCCACACATTTTTTTATTTAAACAAATTTGAAAAAGATTTAAACATGTTTTAAGGCTTATAAATAAAATTTTTTGTTATCATTTATGTGGCTTTCAATGGTATAACCTACACCTGACAAAAGACAAAACGTTACACTACAAAAAAAACGGTATTTTGCGACCGACAAAATGCCAAAAATCGGTCGCTAATTTCAATTAGCGACCGATCTGAGACCGATAGATATTGGTCGCCAAATCGCTCGTCACAAAGATTTTTGCGAACGAATTTTTCATCGGTCGTAAACTTGAATAATCGGTCGCAAATTTTGGTCGTGTTTCATTTGGAAACTCTGTCGCAAATTGGTCACAGAAAAAATCTGTCGCAATTTAAAATTCGGTCGCAAATTGTTAATTTAAAATTTTAATTTTGGGTAGCAAATCGGTCGCAAAATTGAAAAAAATAAAAAAAAATAAATATAATTATGAAACCATAATTTTTTTGCACCTGTGAAAATTGACATATATACATATATATCACACACGCAATTCAAGAACAATATAAAAATGTAATTTTTATTAAAATGAAATTTATCTGTACTGAAGAAAATATTCAAAATTACAAATGAAAAACTAAAAAGGTCCAAAATCAATCTACGCTGCTGGCTCATCTGCACGATCCGATGTCGGATCGCCGGGAGGAGTACCCTGCTGGATTGGGATGTGCTGTAGTGCCAGGAGGGGTGACCAAGGTATCGTCTGCAGCATCGGGATCAGGAGCTGGTGGTGGCTGCTGCTGAGACGTCGAAACATTTCGGTTTGTAGTAGGCGTAGGATTAGAGGAAGAAGTACCAGCACCGGGCTCACTGGACAGCCGCATCACATGCGCTCTAAGCTCTGTGATCTGTCTCTGCTGATCATCAACACGAGCCCGTAATTCAGTATACTGCTCGTCAGTGTGCTCGGGCTGTGGTCCTGCGCTGGCTATAAAAGCGTGAGCTGCTGAGCCGCAGTACAACTGTGGTGCCTGAGACCCGATACCGTATACCTTCCTCTTCTTCTCGCCCCCTACAGCCTCGAGATAAAGTGCTACCTCGTCAATTTTTGACTCAGCTTTAGATTCATCAGTCTGAAACCATTTTTGACTCAGCTTATAAGATCATCAGTACTGAAGAAGAACAGCGCTCACTGAGATGTAGATATATTTGTCTCACATGAAACAAATTATAATCAAATGCAATATGCAAGCATTTAATAAAAAAATAATTGAACTTTGTAACAATACTTACGAACAAACGAGTAAGGATAAAATGTAAATATTTATTCATTGGTTACTTACATTGACGCTCACCGCACGTCTGTCGACAAACGTATTAAAGATCGTGGTCCTTCGGCCTGTGAGTGGTATGTAAACACCTCAATCGGGTTTGGCTCACGGCCTAATTGTTTAAGCCTGTAATTGAATTTTTATGCAATGATATATTAATATATATAATTTCCTTTCATTAACATCAGTTTCATATTAAAGGGCTATTCACTTACTAATTAATCGAGCTGGTCTCTAAGCAGATATTGATCCGGCTGTGTGTCGAAGAAGGTCCTGCCGCTTCCATCACCGCCAGTCTCACTGCGCCTATTTTGTGCAAATATCTTTTTTCCTGGCTTTCTCTTGAATGCAGGCGATCCTCCCAAGCCCTTTGCCAGTCTCCCACTCCCATATCTCCTGAGACACGCACTACTGCTTCTTACCGCTTCTTCTCATCCTATAGGTGAAGTCAGCATATCGATCAGCGCATATCTTCTCCTAGGCTACTTTCAGCATAGCCGTAATGGCCTCGTCCCATATGAAATGTTTCTGCAAAAAATGAAATATATCGTTTCAATACTAAGGAGGTATCTTGATGAATTGTAAACATTGAATGATGATATAACTTCAACCAAAGAGTACCTCAAACTCTTCCCAATAAAAGTCTCTCGCCTCTTGTGGTACGGCATCCCATGTGTATCCTTCTTTATGCAGATATAGCTTGATTATCCTCAAAATTTGCCTCGCTGCTCGAGAAGATGGATATATGCTGAAAAAAAAAAAAAGAAGTGAAATATAAAGTGAATATAATTAGTACAAAAGCATCACAATCTGAAACCAAAATATTGCCCGCCCCCAAACCGTTCTGGAAAAAAATTGAAATAGTATTACTGTCCCGCTAACCAAAACTGAGGCTGTACGTGGATCTGATTTGAAGCTGCAAAAAGTGACAAATGCTATAAATGCAGATAATTAATATATAATGAAATGACAGTTAATGACATTTATGATTACTTGCCCACAGTTAGGTGACTTGTGCGCTGGTGGAGTCATGTACTGGTCCCAAAACGGGCTGTTTCTAGAAGAGGAAGGAGTTAGAGGATGTGATGGCGGGCAGTACTGGTCTTGAGCAGAGGAATGAAAGCCCCAGACGTTACCTGAAAAGAAGGATGTGATGGCGGCAGTACTAGTCGCCTGAGCAGAGGATGAAGCCCCAGACGTACCTGAAGAAGGATGTGGATGGCAGCAGTAACTGGTCGCTTGAGCAGAGGATGAAGCCCCTAGGACGTACCTGAAAGAAGAAGGAGTATTGACCCCTCCTCGTCACGGGCACTGCGTTCCTAGGCCAGACCTCCACGCGAAACACTGCCGACGGCGTCTGAATCAAACGCTCTACCTTTTACGCCATCTGTACTGCCAG